TCAAAAAGACAGGATTACTCTCTGTGAACGAATTCCGCATCTTTTTTGTTTTTGAGGGGGTGTCGATAACTTCGTTATAACGACATTATTCTTCGTCTAAACGACGTAGCATCCCTTACAAGTGAAGTTCGCGAGATGCCTCATTGACTCGTCGACAGGTTACAATATGATCGAGTGTGCTGAAGTTCCGACGGAAGCCTGCTTGTTCTACCTGGTTGAGCTTCTTCCAATGTTCTTCGGATACGTGCCAGTATGCAGCGAGTGAATACTTTATAGAACACCGGCAGAAGCGTAATGGGACGGTAATTTGCTAGGTCTTCTTTGTCGCCTTTATTCAAATAGTAACACCGTCGATGATTGCTTCATGCTTCTGGGATGGGACCAAGAAGGCGTACAAGCCCTGAACCTGAGCGTCTTCGAACGATTCTTTTCCACTTTTCCTTGCTGTCGTCCATTGCGCACCTATACTTTCATATTTATTCGCAGGAACCACACGAATTTGATTCTGGGGCACGTCTTAATTTTGACCATGTAAGCAGCGGCTCTTACAACCGTAATTTATCTTCAAACGAGCAAGTGCTTATGATTTTTCTATGAAAGACGCATAATTTATGCGAAATCCATTATAACATTATCAATTCAAGCATGCATTTTAAGTTGCGTGATAAATTATGCTACTGGTGCATGGAAAAAGAGCAGACGACGGTGACAAAAACGTATACCTTCTCAGTACATATAAATACGTTGATCATCTGCACTCGCGAGGCTTGTAGCGAGGGACAAGGATTTTTCTTTGGCGTAAGCGAGCAGATGGTAATGGGCTGATCAGGGGCACGTTCAAGTGTCCGTTGTGCTGATTTCAAAATTTTCTGCGATTTTTCACGCCCTGATTTTTCGTCACAAAGGCGGATTCAATTAAAGAAAGATGAGCTCATAAGCTCTGTCTTGACCAATATAACGACATCAGCAGCCTTGAAGGAGGAGATTTCCATTTTTGACGGTACTTGTAGTATTAGGTTGAGCAATAATTATCCTCCGTTTTCATTTCACACCAACAAACCAAACAAAAACAACAATAAATGCGTAATCAACAAACGCTCTCGAACAGTCCTCTCTGCAACCGTGCCTTCATCCCAGGCTTCATTGATTCTACGAGCAGATGCAGAAGCATTCGTTTCGAGCTCAACTTGCACTCATGTAGCGTGAGCAATCTTTTGCTCACGTGTAAGCTCCAGAGTGAAGCAATACAAGTGTTTTCAAATGTACAAGAGATTGCGCGCTTTCAGACTACATCATAACTTTGAAAATAATCAGCAAAAAATTAAAGAACCATGAGCCTGAAAAAAGCTGGAAAATTATTGCTCAACCTAATATTATAGTGCTCGTTGTGAGGTACATATTAATTCGCGAATTCCAATGAACAGTTTTTCCTGCTGCGTTCAAAAACCATCCCGTTCCACGAGTCAATCCTTCCGATTGTAATGATAACGTGTGAACTCACAATCTCATATCCTTCTGATTGAGGAAATTACTAGTTTGAGTCATACGAAAGCGCCAACTTCTTCATACGCGCACAATCTTTCCCAAAAGTTTGTGTTGTTCCCAGCAAAGGGGCTGCGAAATGTTACATGAAATCATCCTAAGGTGATAACCTTAGTGTTATTGCATCACAGACTTACTATTATATTAAAGATTTCCAGTCAGCACTCCCTTCTGGGGAGAAATAATGCCATCCAGTTTAACTCGTGTTCTTCACTGTCTGATTTACGAGGCCTGTTTGGGGCACAGCTTCAGAGTAAGGATTCGTCGAAAGTAGTCTTGGACGTTTCGCAGGCCGACTGCAGTTTTGAAGACCAAGAATCACGTTCCCGATATCCACTGATAGTAGATATTGAACGCAACCAAAAACTTTTTGAAGACAACCCTTGCGCTAGTACCTTCTAATTGCAGTAGACCTTCACTTCCCCCATACCCTTATTTGTCGTGCCCTTAGCGCCGTGAGAAATTTTGAGCGCTGAGGCCCTGTTCAGAGATGTCCGCGGCGCGAAAAAACGCACAGGCGAAAATCTCCGCCAAGATTTAGATACGCATCGACTGAGAAATTGTGAAACGCGTAAGCGAAACGTCCGGAGCAGGCGAATTTCAGTCAAGAGTTTGATATGTATCGACTGTGAGAAACGCACAGGCGGAAAATCGCGTGAGCGAAGCGTTCGGAAGTCGATGCGTATGATACTCATTTTCGTCGATCCTCCCACTTCACGATTCTCCTGTGCGTCTTCGCTCAGTCGATACATATTTCATTTTATTTCGCCTTTGCGTTTTTTCGCCTAAGCGGACATCTCTGAACAGGGTCTCAGCCCTGCGCGGGTCTAGTTGGCTGGCCCTTGCTCTTGATACGGTATATACACGTCTTGGTACGGTATATACGGTATATACAGTAATAAAGGATAAAGGATAAAGCATTTGCCGTTGATCAATCCCTTTTTGGGATGCGGCACGCATTCTACTTCCATTTGTACATT